GGACAACTGGGAAACACTGGCCTGCGAGCGCTCCAGTTGGAGAACAGCCTTTACCAATGGTGTCATGGGCTTTGAAGACACTCGAACGCAGGACGCAAGGGAGAAATGTGCTAAGAGGAAGGCACACCTTGCTTGGCAAATCCACACTGTGATCAACTCCCGCCCAGAAACCAATGTCCCCACTGTGGAAGGACGTGTGGGTCCAGAATTGGCCTCCACAATCACTTACGGACTCATTGTTAAAACCATGTTTATGGAAGACAATCTTACTTGGCTACGAGTGATCACCAAAGAAGAAGAATATTAGATGGGTGCCTTCTCTCTCTTGTCTTTCCAGTGCCTGTTGAAGACATTCCTCTTTCAGCAAGCCTTTTTAAGCTGAGATCTTTCCCAGTCTGCATCTGTACTGGAATTGTTTTTATGACATCTTTATTGTTTTATCACTTGGACGTTTGCCGCCCTTTGTGGGATATAAATTTAATGATAAATAAATAATCCGCACAATGTAACAACTGCCGTGTATACATTATGGGCACACATTATAGCGATGGAATTTAAATGATGCAGGTGAGTCCAGCCACATAGGACTGACAGTTCAAGGTCAGTGCTCCAGCCAAGGCCGCCCCAACCCAACAGTAGTATTTATTTATATTTTATTTATTTATTAGATTTATAAACTGCCCTTCATAATAAGATCTCAGGGTGGTTCACAAAATATAATAGTAGTTGTAATGGAACCATGACAGCCTAGAATCTGTGCTAATGGCAGCCCTGCATTACTGGATTCTGCCAAGCCATTTAAATTTTCTCACAATGCAATACCCTCTATGCGAGCTCTTGTTAACACTGGGCCAATATAAATATTTTTAAAGAGATAGGTAGGTAGGTAGGTCGGTCTGCAGAAGCACAGTGGTGGTCAGTACTTTTGAATACTCAGTATTCATTATATGTGTTAGACATTTTTGCTCACTGGATGGGTTTCTCGTTCACTAATAAAATAGCTTACATATGTTAGCTTCTGTAAAATACAGCAAAAGTATATTTTAGAAGAGTATATTCTGGGAGGGAAATGTGTATATGCTTCTGCTGGGAGATATATAAGGTAGAAATATGTTTCGCAGAGTGGATGTCATACTGGTAATTCAGCAAGCCGTGTCCCATATAAAGCAATTGCAAATATATCTCTGGCATTCAAGCGGACCCAGCGGAACATGTGAATTTTCGTGTTGCGATCTGAAGCCAGGCTTAATGTGTCGTGGACTGCCTGCTACAACATTGTTCTAGGTGGCTCCAAAGGATTCAGGTAACGTGGAAGAAAAATGGGCCCAGTTGTAGCTATTGAGCACTGCGCTTGAAAGGAGTATGTCGCTACAGCTTTGTCTATTGTGCTTCGTTTTCAGATGGGATTTGATAATGCTAGTGTCTGTTTCAAGTGAAGTGTGTGCCAGATTACAGATAGCTAGCCCTAGCATTTGAAAGCTGTTAATTGTGGAACTTGAGAAGAAAATGAACTCGTTCTTTCTGAGGTGGCTATTCAAAATCTGGGCCTCCCCACTTTTTTTACTTTTTTGTGTGTGTCATTCTAGAGCACTGTGGGCTTCGCTTTTATTTTCTTCCCACATAAAATGCACAGAGCGTACAGACGCTCTTTCATTTGGCAGCCTCTCCCTTGCCTTCTTTGCTTGGGAATACTTTTGGGTTGTTAAGGATGTGCCCCCATGTATTAAAATGAAATTGTCACTGCTGTGTGGTGCAGCGTAACATGGTTTGACACTCCACGCCCGCAGCTACAGAAAACAGGCTTTTATTGCATTTATTCTTTCAGAGACAAGAGTCTCTATAGATTTGCTGCCGACGTACGCTTAGTTAAATCTGAATGAAGCCAAAGTGAACAATCTTCGGCATCAGTCGTTTTGTTCTTTGTCGAAAGGTCCATAGCCCACGTGGTTGTGGCAGCATTTAAAAAACAAAACAAAAAGCAGGCGTACAAAAGATTGCAATGATTACAAGTCAAGAGGGACAGTTTTAGTGCCTCCTCCTGAAGTAAAGTAACATGCATTTTGATACCATTAAATCATCCCCTATTCACATTTTCCAAACTGCCTCTGAAAACTGCTACAGGAGAATGCAAACCCCGTGTTGACACTCTGGAGAGCACCTTCCTACTCCAGAAGAATGCATATTACCATATCGCATATTTTTGAGTTTTTGGGTCAGCCTTTGGGGGCTGTATGTTAATGCACTGTGGAAGGAAGCTGAGGCAAGCTACGTGAAAATATATTGAGTTTTTAGCAGTGTTCTTGCTGGAGGCGCAGCAAGCTGGGGGCCGAAAATTCAAGTGGCAGCCAGTACAGTATTGGGAAGAGAGAGAAAATGGAAAAGGTTGATACATGTTTGTAAGGCTGGAACTTTCTATACTGTCCCTTTAGCATCATTTCTTTGGGGAAATCCTACCAGATCTTCTTTCAGAGTCAGATATGAGTTTTCGATTTTCACAGCTTGGTATGGCTGGTCTGCTGGGGATGGAGCTTTTAAGCAGAAATGGGCTGATAGCAGCTCACTTTTATGAGCAATGTGGATAAAGTATGTTTTAAGGTTAGCCAAGGTGTTTTGAGGGGATTTAAAAACTTTTTGGGGTGTTGCAAGTATGTGACCAGGGTAGGCAACTGGAATTGATTTGAATTGATTTGTTAGTATATATTGTGTTTTTGCATACAAAGTGTAAGTTTGGAAAAGGGGAAGGGGGCACCGTGAAATCAATTGGATGCACACAGAATGTTATGCAAGTTGCTTCAATACTGAGCCCAAAGCACAGAACCATGCCTGGTTTCAGTACCGCATTTGAAAATACAGTGGTACCTCTGGTTACGAACTTAATTCGTTCGGAGGTCCTTTCTTAGCCTGACACCTGAGGTACCACTTTAGCTTCTGGAGCCTCCCACTGCCGCCGCATGATTTCTGTTCTCATCCTGAGGTAAAGTTCTTAACCCGAGGTACTACTTCTGGGTTAGCGGAGTCTGTAGCCCAAAGTGTTTGTAACCCGAAGCGTTTGTAACCCAAGGTACCACTGTAATGGTTTTCATCACAATCCCTATTTGCATGCTAACTAAAGGTGGCTGGGAAGCAGAGAAGATCAGGAGGGGGGGAGGAAATGAAGATCTCCTTCCTCTGAGTGGAAAGTGAAAAATGTGGTGTTGAAGGAAATTTGGTGCTTCCATCTCGTGGAAGTGGAAGTGTTGTACCCAGGTAGATTCAGCTAGCAGAAAGCTTTTTGTGACCGTTTCTTCTGGAGAATTGGACCTCTGAAGTATAGGGGGAGGGGAAGTACTGTCAGATGCAGAACAAGACATTCATTTTGGCCTCAGAAAATGAGAAATGCAAAGTTGGTAAGGGGGTAAGATTCCCTCAACCAACTTGCTACTTCAGTCTCTCAGAGTTTTTCTTTGGACAGCAAAAAATTGCAGGAAGGACCAAAGGAGGGTGTGTGTGTTGTTTTCCTCAGGAGAACTGCTCTGATAACATCCGCTGCCATTTTGAAAATTACAATCCTTATGTTTTGTTCCGATGGACTGATTTAAATCTTTTTTAAAAGTTTAAATTTAAAATATTTTCCCCAATTTACCCCGACTGATTTAACTTTCCCTTCTGTATTGCTTATATTGTGGTTGAGGAAGTTTAGTTGGGTGGGGGGGAATATATTATCCCGACTGAAGGTCTTACCAGGGAGCATTTCATAATGGTGATATTGTCTGGGAAACAGAGGGTCACTTATGAAGGGGGGACGTGCATACCCCCCCACCCCATTTCTCCTGAATGCAGGATGCCAGGAACACCACAGCCCATTCAAAGTTTATTGTAGCCTGCACCTCAGTGAAACATGTTTTTAAAACGCCAAAAGTAGCCAGTTTCCCTTTGAGGAAAGATTGCAACGTTTGAGACTTTTAAATAAAATATTGTGCATGTTGTAGGAAAAGTGGATAGGGAAAAGTCTCTAATAATAATAATAATAATAATAATAATAATAATAATAATAATAATAATAATCATCTGGGGCCCATCCAGTGAAAATGAATGCCAGAAGATTCAGGGTAAACAGAAATAATTATTCACACTTTATATTTATAGCATGCACAGTACACTTTTAAAGCACATGACTTCCTCAGAATAACCCTGTGAATAGTAGCTTTCCCCACAGTTCCCAGGGGTCTTTGCGGGAAGTCATGTGCTTTGGATGCACATAGTAAAAGTCTAGCAGGAACTGAAAAATGAGCAGCCGGTGGGAAACGAAGAGGAAGAAAACTGGGGTTGGGGAGATAAGATGTTAAAATATTTTCGAAATGGCATTTGAAAATTGAGCGGCTAATAAGACTGGGAAGAGAAACATCAAGATGGCCGGTTGGGGAGTCATTTTTTCAATCTGAATTAATGAGATGTCAAATTTGTAAAAATTTTTTTTTTTTTTAAATTGAAAAGCAATAAAAATCAAACATATTAAAAATGAATGTGCCTTAAAAGTATTGTGTGGATTTGAAGGGAGTAACGGCCACCAACTCGGATTGCTTTAAATGGGGATTAGGCAGTTTCATGGAGTATCTATAGCTATTAGTCATTCTGATTATGTACTACCTCCAGTTTTAGAATTTGCTGGAGAATCCCTGCATGTGGGATTTCCATAGGCATCTGGTTGGTCACAGTAAGAACAGGATGCTGGACAAGATGGTTCATTGGCCTGATCCACCAGCCTCCTTCTCCTCCTCTGCCCACCTGATTTTCAGAACACACACACACACAAAGGTAATGTTGTGAGTGTAACTGACACAGAGACTTGGATGTACAAAACCAATGCATCCAGACAGAAAAGTATCACCATTCCTGTTAAAGTATCAGTATAAAGGAGGCAGGAGGCACGTTTCATTATCAAGTGATATTGCATGACTTTTTCTTGATACCTGTCATCTGATCGATGCTCCATAATTATTATTATTATTTCTCTTTCTCAGGATGGAATCTACCGAAAAATGTGAAGTAGTTATTCAGCATTTTAATGGGAAATACCTGAAAACACCCCCTGGTGTGCCAGGTAAGTGTTGTGTGTTCTCTCTGTGTGTGGTAAAATATGGAAGCTCCTTTCCCAGAAATGGCTCTTGAGGAGAGTTCTTGACTTGACATTTCACATATTGCTGTCTCCCTCTCCAATTTGCTATTTGTGAATTTGTGCTGTTGTATGTCTTAGGTCTAGACACCCCCACCTCCACATTAAGTAGATTAATTAAACAAACCAAATAAACTGGGCGGGGGAGGAGAAAATGAGAGTGGAGGAAGATAAAGGGGAAATAGATTTAACTCAGCCTATGGAATCTCATTACATAGAAAGGTCACTGAACCCATCTCCCACTATCATGAGTTCTTACTTGCCATCAATGTATTTACTGTCCTTTATGCCACAGCGACAGGACCTAACGGTCAGGGGTCCCTTTACCTTTACAGCATTTTAGATTAAGCTTGAATTGCTGTAGTGTTTCCTCTTTGTTGCTCACAATTACAGCTTCCCACATTTTTATTTGTTTTTCTTACTAAAATAGAGAGCAGAATGAGAGTGCATGTGGGCACATTTACGTATTATGCGCAAGATCTAGGTTGACTTATGAGTATAAACAGTAGTTACATGTGAATCCTGATGATCGGAATTGGAAAAGTATGTCACCTTCAAGTCACACAAAATGTTGTGTTGCACTTATGGCCACTTGGAGTAGAATATTATTATTATTATTATTATTATTATTATTATTATTATTATTATTATTATTATTATTTGCATACCACCCTTCACCTGCAGATCTCGGGGCAGTTCACAACATAAAATTACAATATAAAAATCACAAAATGCATAGTAAAAATAAGAACAAAAAACCTCCTCCCAGGAGATCAAGGTTGTGTACATCTTGGCAAGTTGTACACAATAAGCAGCAGATCTTGCCAATAGCTTGCATATGATGGAGGTGCGGGGCCCCCAATGCACATACAGTATACCGGGCCCAGGAAATCCTGTTAGCATCCCTGGTAATGGCATCCAACCTTTCAGTGCAGAAAAAAATACATCCATTGGAAGAGACACTCACCCACCCCACACCCCGGTTAAATAAAGTAAATATATGTGAGTAGATTCACAAGTTATCCCAGGGAAACTAAAGATCGGTCACAGAATTGTGGTACAATTCTACATACAAAGATACCAGCAGATGGACATTCCTTCTCTAGCAATTGCAGTAGTTGCGATATGAACCTGCCTAATATCATAGCTACACCCGATGGAAATGCGAAGGATAGCAATGATTTCGAGCAGATTTCCAGTCAACAGAATCCTTGTCCTCTGTAAACAATCTCCCACGTCATTCGGTAATAAAATGCTCTTAGCATATGTGAGTCAGCTGGCCATAAATGCAGCAGCTTTATGACTTTTAACTGTAGGATTTCCCCAAGTTTTATATGCATAATATTGAATTCAGAGTTCTCATCCAAAGGAAGTGTTAGGTGGAACTGTGCCATGCGTAAATTATCAAGAAACTATGGGCTGTTTTAAACTTACACAATGTTACCTACAATCCCAAAATCCAGCATTCATGCTATGGCAGAGCTTTCAGCAACCAATGAAGCTGCAATAACTAAATTTACAGAGATCATGTTAGGGCTCAGGAACTATTTCAGTGCCCTTTAGCTTTTGGAGAACTGGGAGTGAGTGCAGGGAACTCAACTTCCAAGTTTTGGCTTCTGAACAGGAACTCTAGAGTGGAGGCAAGGAAGGAATAAGGACAAGTGAATCTGTTAAATTATGATTTCTCTCTTTCTCATTTTTTTCCAATCTTGTCTTTACATCTCCATGGGTTTCTACATGGGCTTGCTTTCCTTCCTTCCTTCCTTCCTTCCTTCCTTCCTTCCTTCCTTCTTCTTTCTTTCTTTCTTTCTTTCAAAAAGAGCTCATGAAAATTTATCAGTATTTTAGTGCAATTTTCTCCTGATATATGCATTAGTGTATTTTGCCTAAAATGCAAATTTTGTAAGCAATTTTCTGTAATGCACTTTTCTATATTATTGTTGCAAATATATCTACATTTTTATGCACATTCTGTATGCATTTTTGCACACACATTCCTTGACTGGAGAACTGCATTGCAAAACTCCGAGAGTGGAAATTTTGAAGGATGTCTGTTTTTTTCAGTTTGCATATTATTTCAAGAACTGTCAGTTTGGTAATTTTGCTGTGAATTGTGAACGAAATTTCTATCCTATTCCTAGCAAGGCCTTGGAATCCCTGAATGGGAGTCAAGCCCTCTTTCTCCTCACAGCTGTGTCAAACAGTGGGGACAATGCCCCACATCTTGCAGGTCTAAGCTCCAATCCTATTGGATTCCTAAATGGTCAGCCTTTTGATGGGCAACAAGGATAAGCCATGTTAAGCCAGTCAGTACTTAGACAGAGAATGGAGATAAACAGCAGCTCAGCACCTAACACATAGCACTATGATCAGCATTTTGAATCACCAGCCATTATGCCAACATTTTGATTAACATATGAACATACCGTTTGGAAAATAGAACCCTTGAAAAGCTGTAGCCCTTGGGAGAACTACATCTCCCATAATTCCATTTTCTTTTCTACCATCGCAGCTGCTGTTGCCACCGCTATTTAATAAGGCGTGTGCTTTGGGAAGTGGGGGCGAGCAGAAAAAGGTCCCCTGGTTTTTCTGGAAGATCCCAGATCACCTCTGAATTAATCCTACGAGTTTAGGAGAGACCACCCATCTAAGAAGCTGAACTCCCTATCTTAGGAGGTTTGGCTGTCCCCCAATTTCCTAGTTTTTTTTTTAATCACCATTTCTCCTACGGCAGTCCTCTCATTTATCTGCTTCATATGTTTTCTTCCGCTTAGATCAAGTCTCTTAAGTTTTTCTTGCCGCCTTTTTGTATTTGATCTAGATGCATGGCATTTTTATTGATGTTGTGGTTAGGTTTTCATTTTGTTCCGCAAGTTAGCTTGGGCATATCCAGTCTGGAAGTGAAAAGTCAGTATAAAAGTATCTAAATGAGTAATAATATAAAAACCTGGTGCAGAAAAATAGCAGCCTTGCTGTAGTTTTTTACCCTCTAGTGTCAAGTGGGGAAGAGGCATTTGTGAAGAGCTTTCTCACAAAAGGAGAAATTTGAATGAGGATATATACTGTATAAGTGTAAGCAGATAAACTTGGCTTTTTAATGTACCCTCCAGCTAATCTTCCTGATGGCACCTTTCTGTCTGTTTTGCAAAAAGGAACATTACATTTCAAGATTCCTTTATTAAATGCTTATCTCTCTTCCCCATATAGGTGTGTCTGGGTGTTCTGAGATGCTTATGTCGAAAATATTTTAAATCAGTTACATTAGCTGTCTGTCATTAGGAAAATAAGGGTATGAAAACAAGAGAAAACTGCACCTCAATTACATGGTATATTTAAATTACAAATGTGCTTATATGCTGCCTGGTAGAATTTGATTTTAATGATCACAGATTGGATTGATTGCATATGCGTACATGGTAGAAATCAAACCCCCGTTTTTGAATTCTAATTTATCCAGTGGCTTTCTGCTTTCTTCACCCTCAGATACGCTTCTCAGTGGGATATTGTTGTATTCTAAAAATCCCCTGGAAAGTGACTCAGTGAACTCCCTCTAGCCTTGTAAGAGAGAATTGTGGATCTGTAAACATGATTGATTGGGAATTATCACCATTTCATTGATTTGTATAGGGCGAGCATTTGGGTGTAATTACCTAAGCCAGGTGCTGTCAAAATACATATTTGAGACAGTTGTACTGTATTATACTCCTTAAGAGCTCACACAGCAAAAAAAGAAAGAAAGAAAGACCAAAGAAAAGAAATAACAATATTTAAGATACAGTGAAAAGTTATAAATTGCTCCATTCCCTGTTAGTGGGTTTAGCTTGTCCTTTACTTCCTCCAAGACGAGAGGGAGGGGAAAAGGGTAAGTAGAAGTTTCTTTATATTCATGTAGTTTCCCCTCACAGCTTCTACTCAATTTATACATCTCTGTAATAAACCTGGATTTATGCCTCTCAGCAAAGATAGAAGCATTATGCTTTATCCACCTCCAGGCAATTACTGATCTTCCTGCATGGCGAGCCAAAGAGAATGAAGTCTCCCAGTGTATTTGGAAAGGCACAATCAGAGTCTGAAAATTATCCTCCCAGTGCCGCAATAATTGGCATGAAAGGGAAAATGGGCTCTAGTTATTGCTGTGACCTCTTTATGAATTTAAGTAGGAAATTCGGAAACTTGAGAGCATGAGACAGAGGGATATGTGTGTGTAAATAATAATAATACAGATATATATCAGTTTTTAGATATTAGCTGATATACTGACCAGCTGTCTGGCTGCGAGAAAAGATTTACCAATGAGTCAGAGGTTAAATACAGTCGCTTCACACTTTTCACCTGAATTCCTAGCGGACTGTTAGAAGAGTCTGTACAGAATGGAGCAGATTTCATGTTTGGGGAAACATCTTGTTTATTCCAGGTTTCCTCTCCTACTTGCTAACGAGCCTTTTAATGGAAACATGTAACCTTTCCAGTAGTGGATTTGACTCATTCTCCTCACAACGGACAGTTTCTCCCAAAGTTCTTTTTGCTTTTTGGCTTTGATCGCTCTCAAAATATGAGAAACTGGAGGGACAATAATAAGCAGCACCAAATATACCTTCCTTTTTTAAAACAACAACAGCAACAACAACCTGTATATTTAAATTGAATGGGAATTGCTATGTTTATCCATATTATGCCCCCTTGGTATTGATATTGAAAATCCATCTCATCCGGTTTTGGACATTTAATTTTGCTTCATGTTCTTTCATAAGCTTGAATATTTCTCTTAGGCCTCTTAATGCCTTCTTCTGCTTTAATTATTGTTCCTAAGAAATAGCCTCAAAATGGGAAATTACACACTTAAGAGCAATATATTTCCTTAGAAAGAGTAACTGAAATAAAACTTAATATCCTGCCAGAAGATTTACTAGGAAGTTCTGTACTAGTAG